GGAGTCTCCTAATCTACAATCCTTTGCCATCTGGATACGTTCCTGTCTATGTACATGGAGGACACAGTCCAGCTATGCTTTCTGCCACCACAGGGCAGGACCTCTTCTCCTCTGGTTTCCAGAAACACGTTCCTGATTTCCTTCCAAGGCCTCTTCGGAAGCACCTTTCATGTGTGAATCTCCACCAGCAGTCTGTTTACAGGAGTTTGGGTGTTGCCATCTAAGATGATGTAGATTTTCTGTACCACAGTCTTCTTTAACTGAGTTGTTAATAGGCACGTCTGCAGACAATCTGTTGAAAGCAATCTAGGCTTATTTTCCATTGTGCTTCTCAAAAGTCTTCCAGTCTCTACCTGTCCCCTACCTCCAAAGCCTGTTGCACATTTACAGGTATGTGTGATAGCAATGCCCCACTCTGTGGACACCAGCAGCAGTATTTTGTGCTTCTCCATGGCAGTGTGGCATAGTGTTGTGTGCCTCCACAGCAATATGCTCATCCAGGCTGTTATAAACAGACATTTGGAGGTATTTCCAGTTCTTAGCTATTTGGATGCGCCTTCTAGGAATGAGTCTTTTTTGGTGGGCATGTGTTTTTATTTCCCTTGGGTAAGTATTTAGGAGTGAGGTTGCCTCAAGGGTTATTCTTTTGGCACTCCTGGTCTGGTATGGACAGCCAGCTCTCACCCTGCTTCTAAAGGCTGGTAGGTTAGCTTCTCGTTAGTCCTGATCTTCTTTGGGAAGTTTGGTCCATACCTCATCCTTACTGGGGCCCAAATGTTGCTCTCCTGCTGTTGAACCCAGGCTCCCAAGATTGTGATCATTTCTGAAAGCTCTGTAGGTTATTTGGCCTCAGCTTTAGTTCATCTCTATAACTTAAAGTTCGCCCTATGTCTATGTCTATGTCTATGTCTGTGTCTATGTCTATGCTATGTCTATGTCTACGTCTACATCTATATCTATATCTAAGTTAAGTGCCCAAGGTGTGCTTCCTTGCTTTTGACACCAACGACATATGGGGGGGTGGATTTTAGCCAGCACTTCTGTTTGTTTGGGGAAAGAGGGTAGATGTACTTCTTCATCCATTCAGACTAACATAAGAATTCTCTTATTTAAACCTTACCTTTCGAGGAACAAACCATTAAAATAAAGCAGTATGATATTTCCATTTTACACACGAGCAAACTGAAGCTAAAGAGAGCTAAGTGGATTTTCTGAAGTCTAATGAGGAGAACCCAACATTTTGGAGGTATTTAAACCTTCCCAGGGCTCACATGGAAGATGTAAGCAAATTTCTTTACTTCAGGTGGGAATTTTAGCATGGGTGGTTGAGAAGGTATCCTGTAGCGTCACAGGAGGGTTTGATATATTTTTAAAATTTTTATTTATTTGAGAGAGAGGGAGAGGGAGAGAGGGAGAGGGAGAGAGAGAGAGAGAGAGAGAGAAGCAGAGGGAGAGGGATAAGCAGACTCTACACTGAGCACAGAGCCCGATTCAGGGTTCAATCTCACGACCCTGAGATCATGACCTGAGCTGAAATCAGGAATTGGCTGCTTACCTGACTGAGCCAGCCACATGTGCCAGGAGGATTTGATTTCATGATCTTCATGGTATTAAGTGAGATGGTACTGGCTCAGCACTTAGCACAGTGCCTATCACATATTAGGGTTAATAAATGTTTGGGGACTATTAATACTATTCATGACATTGTTATCATATTCCCTGCCTTTAGATTCCCTCCTCTTCCCCCCCAGTATGATTTACAGAGCCATAGGCTGCTGGTGCTCCAAGCCTCCTCAAATAAGAGGTTCAGGGTGGACCAGAATTTCCACAATAAGGATGTCAAGGAGCAACTACTCGCTTTGTGGCATCGGGTAATGGCATGGGGGCTTTGATGGTGGTCTCCGGTACCAGACAGTCTGGATTCAAATTCAGCTCTTCTGTTGACTGGCTCTCTGATCTCAGTATGTTGGACTTTTCTGCTTGAATTGTCTGGAAAATGGAGAGAATTGTACTACTATTTCGTAGGTTTATTGTGGGGAGTCGGCGAGTATCCAAATAAAAAGCACATAGAAGAGTGCTCAGTATCTGGTAGGTAGGCGTTCAATAAATGCTAGTTTGGTTAGTGTGGCTAGTACTGACTGCTGTTTGCAAAATATTTCTGACTTTCTGTCCTCCAGGCACACAGTGGTGTCGACCCTATGGTTCTCTCGTGGTTGGGTGGAGCCGTGTCACTACTTCTGGCCAAGGAGTTGTGAGTGGAGAGTTGTGTGTCACTTCTGGGCCAGAGCATTTCAGGGCTCACACTGGACCCTCCAGGGTGCCTTCCCTTTGCCATGATGGCTGAAATCCCAGATGGTGGCCGCTCCATCGTCCTGAGTTTCCCAATGACTACCATGAGCATGATCCACTCATTATTTCAGGTCTCTGAGATATTGCAGCATGATATTGCTTATCCTGAAAAATACATCAACTAGAATAATGGTCGAAGTACAGTACTTAAAGCATTTTAATAACCCTTTTGAAAGGTCCCAAGCAGGATGTGGAAAATCTTGCATTTTGGTAGGACAGCTGATAATAGACCCTTTCTGAATGTCCATCTTCGTCGTGAAATCCTGACTCTGCTGTGTGTTCCAAATCGTCAGTTTGCCCATGTCATTCTCATTTTCCTAAATGGAAAGCAACCAATGTGACTCGAGTAACAGATGAACAGTCTGTTTTATTTATTTGACAGAGAGATAGAGCAACCAAGCACAAGAAAGGGGAGTGGCAGGGAGAAGGAGAGGGAGAAGTAGTCTCCCCACTAAGCAGGGAGTTCAATGCAGGGCTCCATCCCAAGACCCTGAGATCATGACCTGAGCTAAAAGCAGATGCTTTACCGACTGAACCACCCAGGCGCTCCTGAACAGACTTAATATAACTGGATTCTTGCCATTAATTGAAAGGTTTTACAAGTCATAAATTCTAGTTTTCTATTTTCTGTTGTTCCCTGAATGAAACAGAAATAGTGTAAAGTTTTGTCTTCTTTAGTGGGGATCTAAAGAAGTTGCGGGCAGACACATTTCAGTGCACATTTCCAAGAACTTCCTAACCGTTAGAGATATCTGGCAATGGAGCCACAACCTATAAGGACCAAGTTCCCTTTTCTGGGGGCGTTCAGAACTGAATGTTGGAACCCACTGCTTGTTCCCCTTTCCTCCCACAACACCTCTGTTTCCAGGCCTAGAAGCTGCTTCACTCTGCTGTGAGAATCCTGTTGTATCCTTGTGTTCCCCACCATCACCACCACCACACAAAATTCAGTACTTAGGAAATGCATAGGCAATGTTTGCAGGAATAAAATGAACTTTCAACATAGAACAGTGGTCTTCCACCTGGGCTGCATGTTAGAGTCATCTGGGGAGCTTAAAAAAAATCACGAGTCTGGGCCACACTCCATACGAATTAAATCAGAACTTTTGGGGGTGGGCTCCAGGCTGAATGTATTCGAACTCTCCCCAGGTGGTTGGAAAGTTGGAAAGATCCAGAACTCTGAACTAGGGGCTGTGTGGGCCTGTGTCAGGGTTGTTAAATAATACATTTATGCAATTGTTCTTAAATAATGTCTATTTGTGTACTTGTACAGTGCTTTACAGTTTGGAAAGTGCAGTGAACTCTTAGACATTTAATAAAGACCTAATCATCTAGTGAGGGTCAGAGATATATAACCGAGTAATATGGCATATTAAAGAGTGTGTGTGTGTTTGGGGGGTGGAGACTTAGAAAGTGCTGAGCACATCAGTGGATGCAAGAGCAGCTGAAAGGAAGGCCAGGATGCGGAAGGAAGCAGCATCAGATGGGGGCTGTGTATCACAGGATCCTGCAGTGTCCCCCTGCGACTTGTGGAAGTCCATGTGTGGAAGGGACCAGCACTTGCAAGATTATGGTGGGGGAGAGCGTCTCTGCCTGTGCCAGCTCACAGGCACTTCCTGGGTGCTGCAACCTGGGCAGGATCCAGTGGCTGTAGCAAGAAGGGACAATGTGGGGAAGGACCTGGACATGGGGCCTGGACTACTGATGGGGTTGCCAGCTCCCAGGGGGTGTCAGTAGGCCACAACATCAGGAGATCCTCCCTGATGGAGCCCTTCCTGTGCTCCAGATTCCTCTTCTGCCATGTTGCACCCACACTTTAGCTCCAGGAGGACGGCAGTAGCGTTTCCAGCTGCTTGACGCCTCAGAAAGTTTGAGCCAGCTGGAGGCCATTGCCCCCTCCTCCTGCATAACTCCTCACCCCCAGCATCAGTTCAGGCTCCGCCCCCCAGGGGGTCTCTTCCTCGTTCCCGGAGCTCCCACAGCCTCATTTGGGAACAGCCAGGACACTTGCTCTAGTGTCCCACCCTCCAAATCGGGAGGCACCTAATGCACCCCGGTCGGAGGGCGGGGGCAGTGGGAGTGCGGGAGTGAACGGTAAGGGGCGGGTAAGGCGGGTGAGCAGAGGGGGTGGACGGATGAATGGGTGAGCCAGCCAGGGAGCGGGTGAATGAGTGTGTGTGGGTGAGTGAGCAAGGGGGTGGACGGGTGAGTGAGCGAGCGAGCCAGGGAGAGGGTGAGTGAGCGGGGGTGGGAGCGTGGATGAATGCATGAATGAGAGAGGGGGGATGGGTGCGTCGGTGAGGGGCGGGGCGGGGCGGGGCGGGGGGGCTGAGGACCGAGGGGTGAGTGGAGGACGCGCCGGGACGCGGGGGCCGCCCACGCGGAAGTGCAGAGTAACCGTAGGAGGGGTGAGTGTGACGACCAGAGGCCGAGCTAGCGGCTGAACGAGGGGGCGAGCGGCGCGGGCCGGGGCGCGGGCCAGGCCTCCCGGTGGCCGCGTGGCCGGGGCGGGGCCGGCCTGGTGGGCGGGGCCAGGCCAGATAAAGGGGGCGTGGCCGCCCCGAGTGGGCGTGGCGGGGGCGTGGCCGGGCGGGGTGGGCGTGGCGTGGCGGCCCGGCGGGCGCGGAGGAAGTCACGTGGCTCGCGCTCACATGACTGGCGGCGTGATGGACCGGCTGTCCGCGGAGGCGGGCGCGGCTCCAGTCGTGGCGGCAGCTGAGGCGGAGGCTGACGAGGAGGCGGACCCACCGGCGGCAGGTACGGCTGGCGGTCCCCCTGCTCCCGCGCGCAGCCCCCGGCCCGCCCTCGCCCCCGTGGCCCCCGGCTCCCCGGCTGCCCGCTGGCGCCCCGCGCGCCCCCGCCACGCTGAGAAGGGCGCCGCGGGCCCGGGGACCCGAGCACCTGCGCACCTGCGCACCTGCTCTGGGTCGTCCTGGCCGCGCCTCCCTGTTCGGGGGCCCCGGGCCCCGGCCCCCGCTCCCCGCCGTGCCGCCCCGGACTCGCGAGCTCTCCGCCGCGGACCGGACAGACTTGGCTCTGAGTGCGTGTGCCCTCGTGAATGGGAGTCAGCACGGAAAAGCGTGCGCGGGGCTTGGCTTTTGTAGGATGGTCCCTCCTGGAAAGTTCCCTCCTTTAGCCCCCTCCAGGTGGAGAACAGATGTAGGGGCGGCGTTGTTGGCCGTTACTGCGGCCTTTGGGCGCGGGTCGGAGGCGGGGAGGGGGCACAGGGTCGAGGGACCCCGCTGGGGGTGTGGCCAGGTGTCCCCAGGGGGCTGTGCTACGGTGACTTCTGGAGGGCACGCGAGTGTTTATTCATTGGGGAGAACAGGGAAGGGAGTGGCGGGGAAGCTGCTGGGAGGTGGGCATTGCACTGGACTCCTTGACATAAAGGCTCCTGGGTGTGTCTGCATCTAGAAAGAAATCCCCCACTCCCAGAAATGGTTTTGAGTAATTTTTCATTGCGTTTGTAGCTGTGTAAGGGGAAGCATGTGATGGCACTTGCTGTTCTGGAGGTCACACATTTGAGCCCGGCGTGGGCAATGGGCCTCACCGATTCCGGGGCCCCAGCCTGGACCCCTTGGTTGGTCCCATTTGGAAACGGGAGGCTGTCATTGTCTTTTTTGGCTCGGGTTGTAAAGCAGTTCATAGTTGGCTGCATATGGTGGTGGCTCAGGGGTCTCTGCACCGTCTGCACCTTTGGGTACCGCAGTCGATTTTTTTTTTAAGATTTTATTTATTTATTTATTCATGAGAGACACACAGAGAGGGGCAGAGACACAGCAGAGGGAGAAGCAGGCTCCATGCAGGGAGCCGGATGTGGGACTTGATCCCAGGACCACGACCTGAGCAGATGCTCAACCAGTGACCCACCCAGGCGTCCCCCACATGGCAGGACTTACCCACTGGATTCCACTTATGGATGGCCGCCCTCCCAGCATACCCTCTCTCTGACTTTGCCTGGAATAACCATGGTAGTTAGCCTTCTTGGGGGCCGTGGGGATTTTATTAGGCGTGCTCACTGTGAGGACACCGTAGCACCTCTGGTTACAGAGTGCTGTTCTATAGCCAGGGGAGTCTCAAGGTGGGGTTCATGGACTGTGGGAGGCAGCCTGTCATTGCACCCCATTTAAAACCTTTTGACAGTCCTATGACACAGGTAAAGTGGTAGAACAAACCTTTTTTACACTGGGATAATTAAAACCCAGAGGTAAGTGACTTGGCCAAACTGGGCAAGTATTAAGGAGGCATGTCCAGGTGGGAGTCGTGGTTGGGTGGGCTAGAGGCAGAAAACCTAAGGCTTTGAGACCGAATCTTGTCCGTTGACCGTAAATGCATATCTCACTTTTAGTCAAGGCTGATTTTGGTTTGTTGATGGGTTTGTGCTTATGAATATAGAATGGTTTCTCTTTTCTGGTGTTTTGTCTACACAGGCAGAGCCTACTCGAGGTATTACTTGTGGAGACAGTGAAGTCTGGGTCTTTGTACTGCCATTGGGATTGTCAGAGAAAATCGCGTTCCCTGGTTTCCAACATTAAGGGTCATATTCTAATGCTTTGAAGCTTAATCTGTGAATGGTAACTCCCTAAAATTTTTTTTTAAACGTTTTATTTATTTATTCATAGAGAGACACACACACAGAGAGGCAGAGACACAGGCAGAGGGAGAAGCAGGCTCCATGCAGGGAGCCCGATGTGGGACTCGATCCCGGGTCTCCGGGATCACGCCCTGGGCTGGAGGTGGCGCTAAACCCGCTGAGCCACCAGGGCTGCCCACTCCCTAAAAATTTAATTTTCAATTAAGCTATACATGGACAAACATGTTTTCTTTAAAGAAATGTAGAACATTATTAACTAAGTGAATCTCACGCCAATTCCCACCACCGTCTCTTTGCCAGAGGTGACCTTTGGGTTGGGGATGGATTCTCTCCACCCTGTTTTTATATTTTAAAAGGATACATACTTAGAAACCCCATACCTTCTCGAGCACATGTGGTTATGTTTCCCTAGGGTAGTGTATTAGTTTTCTGCAGTTGCTGTAACAAATTACTACAGACATGGTGGCTTAAACAACACTTAACCATCTCACAGATCTGGATGGTGGTCAGTAGTCCAAAATAGGTTTCCTTGGGCTACTATCAGGTGTGGGCAGGGCTGCCTTTCTTCTGGAGGCCCTCGGGGAAAATCCGTTTTCTGGCCTTTCTGGCTTGCAGATGCCTCCCACATTCCTCGGTGATGGTCCCCTTTCTCCAGCAACCATGAACCATGTCTTTTTCGTGCTGTCATTTCTCTGGTTCCCCATTTCTTGTTTACTACTTCTACTTTTGAGGACACCTGGACCACCAACCACCTGGATAATCCACAACCTGTGGCCTATTTCAAGGTCAGCTGGTTGGCCACCTGAATTCCATTTGCTGCCTTTATTCCCCTTAACCATGGAAATAACAGATGCAGTTTCCAGGACTTAGTCGTAGAGGGCTGTGGGTGGGTGGGGGCGTTATTATGCCTCCCACAAGAAGCTACCCTGGGAGTTTCAGCAGATACTGAGGGCTTATCCTCTGTGGGGCTACCACCAGTTTACTCCTGGAACTGAAGCGTGCCCTGTTAAGAACATCATTTCCTCATAACCTCCTGGGCACTAACTACCATTTCTATAAACTCCCTGCAGATCTACAAACATTCAGAAAGTGTTTCATTTTTATTTGGATTTCATTTCCACCAGTATTAGTGGGGTTTAGTTCCTTGTTATAGTTTCATTTTGTGTGGCCTCTCAACTCACCATTCATACCTTTTCCCTGTTTTCTTAGGAGTGGATCTTTTTCCATATTGAAACATTTCTTTTTTCATTTTGAACATAGTCCCTTTGGAGATTTTATGTTTAAATTATGACTATCACAGTATCTGATGGGAACATTTTGTTCTCTGTGCAGGATGAGATTTTATTTCAGGGCCTGTCTTGAGGTTATAAAGCTTAGCAGTTGGGACTTAGAATAAGAATGGCAAGGATTGAATGTGATATATGCTTGACTGTATAATTTGAGTTTTTGAGATTGCATCATATCCTGAATAAGAATACACACAGATGACCACTGTGTATCACAGCCCGGCTTTCCTGCAATCTGATGGACCTAAACTTGGTCTTTAGAACATGGGAGAATCAGCTTCACTTCTGTTGGTGTGGCTCACTTGATGGCATTCCATACATTCCATCTGGTTAGGAAGCTCTCAGCCATTTGTCTCCTGGTTTTCTCTGGGGTCACGTCTGAGCTCTGCTCATCATCCCAGCTCCTGCACACGGGCCCCCACCTTCTCTGCATGCCTGGGCGATTTCCTTGCCTTCTCTGCTCCAGCCACCACTCTTCGCCTGCTGCTTTTCTGGGTGTACAATCGTCAGAATTCACTGAACTGTCACGTAAGATATATGTGTTTGGGTTAAATTCTACCTCAAAGTGCTGTTTGCATTCAGGAAAAAACTCTTCCTGTCCATTCTTCTCCCCATTACTACACACATTTTGATTGTAAACTCCCAACAGGCAGAAACTATTATTTTTCTTTACCTCCCAGGATTAGAGTAAGATCTGCTATGTAGAAAAAGCTTATACATTTTCAGTAGAATTACATTTTTGTCATAAGTTTTTTTATGGATAGTATCATTTTAATTTGATAACAATCATTGTGGAAATATTTAAGTTTCCTTTGTTGATCTTTAAACTCTCATACAGACATACACAATTTGCAAGGTAAAATGTGTCAATTTGAAGAAAGAGGAACTAACTGAATCACTATTGTGTAGAACAGATTTTGCCAGAATTTGTGGTTAGTAAGAAAGTGATGTGTTCCGGGTGGGGGAATTCTGTTTTGGTATTATTTTTTCCTTCCTAAGAAAAACGCAGCACAAAAAGGGATGTTTGCCCATACTGGTTGCTGTGGAGAGACTTGAAGGGTGGCCTGTCTGTGAAGCAGGGTTGGCTGGGGGTGCAGGTAGGATACCTGGACCCTAGGGTAGGTGGAGACTGACTCCCAATCATGTTACCCTCTGAAGAACTTCAGTGCTTTTGCTCTCTGTGTGTTTTTATTATAGAATAGCTCAAAAACCATGACCAGACTTCAGGAGGGTAGACGTCCTTTGTTAAAATAGTCAGGTTTGAAATACCCTGTAGCACAGAGGGCTCAGGATGTCCTGAGATGCATGTTCTATTAGTCGTTTGACTCACAGGGGACTCTGATGCTACACTTCATGTTTTCTGTTGACTGGGCTTCTGGAGGAGGGCACATTGGCTGTTTCTGTCTGTGGAGCAGGTGTTCGGTGGGGTTTTCTAGGACTCCTGGTCAGTTTGGAGTTGATGTGCTCAACAGAGGTGAAGGGGAATTGTGTGATGTTTGATTGATTCCAGGGAAGCTCAGTGGAGGCTGGGGAGATTTGTGGTGAGGTGTTATTTCTGAGAAGTCCATCTCCATGATCTCCCGAGGATCTTTCAGAACTGATCTGTGCTGGTCAAGTTTTTTTCACTGAGTCTCATGAATGAGTTGTAATCAAACCAGTAAAATTGCATTGTTGTACAGGAATTGGCACTGGAGGAGAAAGTTGTACAAGAACATAACTGCAAGTACAAACATTTTATAAACAGAACTCACCTATAATTCCACCACTTTAACACAACTGCTGCATTTTAACATGCACTGGACTTGTGAGCAACACAGGTGTGTATTGTGCAGGACCCCTTGTATGCGGTCAATACAGTACAGTGCTGTAAATGTATT